GGTAAAATTGTGGCAACTTGTAACCGGTCGCTGACCACAGCTGAGCGTAATTATCCGGCTACGCATCTCGAATTATTAGCGATAATATTTTCTTACGAGAAATTCCGTCATTACTTGGAATTTAATCATTTCATCGTTAAAACCGATCACAGAGCGCTTCTAGAGATAGAAAAGTATAGCGGTAATAATCCACGACTTGCGCGCTGGGCATTATTATTGTCGACACTGGACAAGGAAGTTCAGTATCGCCCGGGAAAATTCCACCATAATGCAGACTGTCTTAGCCGTTTTCCCGTTGGCCCCGCCGAACCGGATATCGCGGATAAGCTGCCGGTTTATGCGCACGTCGCAGAAGTGCAGGATGAAGATGAAAATGCCAATGACGATCCTTGGAAGGACGACAAATGGTTGAGTGATGAACAGCTATTGGATCCTTCTATTAAGAAAATCGTGGATGCGATGGACAATCCTGCCGATCCTCAGTTTGCCTCGTATCACCGTCAGTATAAACTACGTAATTCGGTCCTATATTATAAAAGGAGAGAGAACGGTGTTGACGTAAAGTGTCTCATGGTTCCCAAACATTTACGGGATGATGTAATGCGGACTGTACATGATATTCCTCTAGCAGGACATCAGGCCGTGGATAAGACCGTAAGTCTGATTAAGCGTCGTTTCTGGTTTAACGATATGGTGAATTACGTTAAACGGTACATAAAGACGTGTCCGCAATGTCAGATGAGGAAAGTTACTCGTAAACCTATGTCAGGTTATTTGCAGCATCTTCCTGTTGAAGGACCGATGAGTACTGTGTATATGGATTTATTAGGTCCTTTTCCTGTATCAGGATTAGGTAATAAATACGCCTGTGTTGTGACCGACGCTCTGACGAAGTATATATGGGCTGGACCGTTAAAAGACCAGTCGGCTGCAGAAGTAGCCAGATTCTACGTGCAGAATGTTATTTTAATGTTTGGTACTCCTAAGCGGTTGCTTACTGACCGAGGAAAGCATTTTAGAAATAATTTGCTGTACGAAGTTAATAAGTTAATCGGTGTTAGTCAGCTTCGTACAACAGCGTATCATCCGCAAGGTAATTCTCAAGTAGAAAGACAGATGTCTCCTTTAGCAGAAGGAATGGCCATGTATGTGTCAGATGACCAGCGTGATTGGGATCAATATCTCCCATTTATCGCCTCAGCGCATAATTCTACGGAACACGACGTCACGAAGATGTCGCCGTTTAAGTTGATGTTTGGTCGTGAGAATGAACTTCCAGTAGATACGATTATTAAATCGGTGGAAGACAGTACGTATCTGAATTTATCTGATTATTCTCAGAAACTAACGGATTTCTTTCAAGAAGCGTATGAAGTTGCGCGCGCGTATTGGCATTCGGCAGGATAGGAATGCCGCCGCGACCGATGTAAATCGCCGAAAACTTGAGTTTTCTATAGGCGACCTTGTGAAGGTGCGAGAATTTGCACATCTTGTCAAGAAGGCCGACAAATTGCGACAGAAGTATTCTGGACCTTATAAGGTCTTAGAACGTATTAATGAAAATGTCTATAAATTACAATTGTTGCATTCTTTCCGTCAGAAAGTGGATAATTATAACATCAATAGAATTGAGCCTTTTTATCCCAGACCATCTGGTGAAGTTCCTGAAATTATTAGGAATGATAATTCTGAATTAGAAAATGTGCCGCCGATTGCTGATGTGCCAAAAGATACGGAGCCGGTAGAAGCCACTGCCCTTGACATTCCAGCCTTAGATCTGCCGTCAGATAATCTCGCCTTGCCAGCGAAGCCAGCGGCGAAGCGTCTGTACCGGAAAAAGACTGTCGACATTGTGCCATTTACCAGTCGTTCAGGCCGCATCACCAAAGCGCCAAAGCGGTATCAGTGTGTTGTTAAAATTAATTTATGAAAATTCGTCGTACATTCCTATTGAGGATTTATCTCGTACATTATGCTGCCTAATGTTTACTTGGATACGTGGATTATTGCTGGTTATCACTTAATTGATTTAATTTCCCGATATTTGTGGGATAATGACCGTCGATTTCTGTATTTAGAAGCAATACGATTTATTCGCTCGGTGATTTTCTTCTATGCAGAACGTACTGGTAATGTGCGACCTTTTCGAGATGCGCCAGTTGAATATTTTCTAAGTTCTAGAAATGAAATTATTGAATTTTATCTCTGTTATGGTTTACAGGGATTACGGTTTCCTCAAAATCTTACTGTAGAACAGTTGAATTTTTTCGATTCATACATGTTTCGTACAAGTAGGAATGTCGCAGATAATATGGAAGAGTGGCATATTTATTGTCATTCCGTCAAGTGGTTCGTACTTCTAATTTCAGAAGGTTGTTCTATTCAGAAAATAATTATTCATCTTTTATTATTATTATTATTACGGAAAAGGGGTAAATGTTTTGCGTTTTGCATTTGTTTGTTCTTGAACAGAAACGTGAAAATTTCTTACTGTGATGAATCAGATATCAAAATGGCATTTTGATCGTCAGCCGCCCATTATCACAGTCCCGTGAGTGGAATTTGCCAGTCAGTGATGATTGGCCAGTTTTCCTGTAATAGGAGGCGCCACTTGTTGCATGGTATAACATGCCGGCGTGACTTCGCTAAATTGAGTACGCCATATTTCAAAATTCTACAAGTCGAGAACTTTGAATATTTTTTTATTTTGGTTATTTCATCCATTAAAAATGGCGGAGGATCTCGGCTGTTATGATCCCGATCATTTTCAATTTCCTGCGGAGGATATTGCACGGGTTAATGTGGAAACACGCCGTGTGTTTCGCAATGCCTGCTTCGGGTTTGCTGATGCGTATGTGCAGCTGATGGATGATCGTCACTTCGACGCCATGTCTCCAGGCATGCAATCGGTTATACCCCGTCTGCCGGCTCGTTACCGCCATTATGGCCGATCTTCCTATTCAGGAAATAGTAATTCCTCTTTAGGATCGGTCTCAGCTGTTGGTGTTTCCTCTTTAGGATTGACTGTGAATGTTGGCGCGAGTACTTCGCGTGGACCTGTTGCTGTGGATCAGCCTGGATGAACTTCTGCGTCTGGCACTCCGCAGCGTTTGCCTCCTCCTACTCAGGAACCTCTGGTGGAATATGTTGTCGAGAATGAGCCGGATGCTGACGGTGACTACATTCCCGGTTACCATATTGAAACCGAGCGTCCACCGCCAGGAGTCCGCTACACCGTCGTACCTGCGCAGACTCGACCGGGTGCCAATCGTGGTGGGCAAATTCGTGTCAGCGCTCCACCACCTGGAGTGGTTAACGATCCTACACCACCAGGATTTCCCCTGCCTCCTATTCCAGGATCGTCTGCGGTTGCTCCTAATTCAGGATATCGGGCTGCGGCTCCTGTCTCAGGTAACTGGATTCACCAGTTTGCTCATCAGCTGCCTATTAGTGGACCGCCAGCGCCACCTGTCAGTGTTTCGTTGAATGCGGCTTCTGTTTGCCGTTTCCTCAACCCCTGCTGGACCGCGCCATCCTACTGCGTTTCTGCGCCAGCCAAAGGAAAAGAAACCCGGGCAGCTAAAGATCCGCGAGAAACTCCGCCGCGCCTGGGCAGGCCAACCTGTCAGCATTGAGTACTTCCGCCGACATATCTATCAGCTGGAGTACATGTACAAAGTTCCTCGTGATATCGTTCGCGATGCTGAAGCCATGCTGGACGAGATGGACGCTCGCGAAGCGGCACGTGTCGATCCTCGTGAACAGGAAAATCCTATTCAGGAAGAAGCGGCTGCTAATGCTCCTGTACAGGATAACGCGCCCGATCCACTTGCGGACCTGCCAGTTCCTGGTCTCGAAGGGGAAGAAGAGGAAGAAGACGACTTTGGAACGGAGCATCTGTATGATCCTATGGAAAAGGATGCGGAATGAGAGTGCCGATGGATGGGCGATTTACCGATGGAATGGTATTATTTTTGTTGATCTTACTAACATTGTGATGGAATATTAATCTCTGAAATTGTTGCTCATATTTTTATGCATTTTATTAACCACTATTCTTCTGTTTTTATCCCGGAAAAAGGGGTCGTGTAGCGCTGCTGATGGTATTTCTGTACTTCTTCATAGAATTCTATATTAGAAGGAATGCTCACTAATCAGTTGCCTTGTGATGATTTGGACTACTTTTATTAATTCTGATTTTGATGTTATTTTGATGATAAAAGTGGAAAAGGTGACTCAGTTCTCGATTATTTTTGTAAGATTCTAAATAGAAACATAATAATGATCATAATTATAAGCCCCCTTCGTATGGGATAAGTGTAGTCCCGGGGCAAACCACTACACTAGTTTCTGAGTTCTGACACAACATATACTGCCGTTCTTGCTTTTAATCGGCATGTTTGTAACTGCTGTTGATCTAAACGTCGACCGTATTACGATCGCTATCATATGCAACTGATTTTGCCGATTAAATGTTCTAGCGCATTGCTTGCTTGCTACAAGAACTGCAGCACCATGTGACACCAGATATTAAAGCATATTGCTTCAGATATTTCAAACTTTAATACATTATAAGCACACTTACGCGTCCGTACTAAAAAGCACTAGAAGAAGCCGGTAACAAAACAGTTCCACTTAACCAGAAAAATTCTTTCCGATGGCACTAGCAGATAAAAAGCTCTAACAGCAAGGAATACTCCTGGACATCAGGATTTTCAACAAAGAAGCACCCTGAAATTACAATGAACCGAAGTGTTTGCTGTATGTATTGCGCAACATTATGCTGGCTCATCTGTATGGCCATTAGCGGCAGTTGTGGCCAATATTGCCAGAAGTATAATCCCCAGTCTAAACGGTTCACCTGCATCGGTGATGCAGCAGTCCCGCAGTTGGATTTTTCTCGCCCATTTGACGCTAGCATTATCCCGAACGACGTGGAAATACTGACCATAGCTTGCGCTGACAAGCACGGTTCGCCCATTGGTTCCGGTGTACGAATATACAGCTAAGCTTAAATCAAGGTTACGTTATTGCTGTATCAGTTAAAAAAATTGGCAAACACTGATTTTAAACAGAATTATATTGAGTAAAATTTATAAAATTAAAAGGGAGCGCAGCGTTAAGAAATGGAGCAGGAACACGTTTTGACAACTATGTAAAGCTGATTAAAAAAAACTCTGGAAATTTATGTATGGAAACTGGAAAACGTTTAAACCCATTCAGGTATGCCAGAAGTCGTACTATGGATCAATCTTCAAATTTTGCATTTAAACTCACGTATGCATGAAGCTCGTCTTTACACCAATCTGCGGTTATGGCATTTTTGTCACATATAAAAGTTTGAAGAAAATGTTGCAACTCTGCAACAGTTCGGGTTAAACACTATCGTTATATTTACGTGTTAGGATGTTACGAGCATTTGTATGATGTCATCGGGAATGTATTCACGCCGGTAGGCGCGTTGGTTTTTTATTGCATAACCTGTTGTTTTTGCTTTGCTATCTTTTTATAGCCTTTGATGTTTGGCAACTGCCGCGAATATAAGCGCGGCTGCATCGCTAATTTGGGGGAGCTGCTGTTTAAGTAGTTGAAAATTTTGAGTCGTGGAAGTCACCAATAAAGTCCATCGCGGTACCCGCTGCAAGAATTCTTTTCCCTTCGTAACATACGTGAATTAATATGCAAAATTTAAAGAAGATGCATCCCCAATGAGACTTTGGTACACCTGCCTGCGTTCTTTTGGAAATGTTTGGAATTTATCCAGAATTCACTTGGTCTGTTCAATTACTTACAATTTCAGTTAACATCGGTGTTGCTAATTTACTTCACTAATGAATCGAAGACATTTATTTTACGCCCTCGCACATGTCTGTATATCGGTGACCACTGACAACTTGCTTGGCAGCCCTGGGAATTGTCGGATTTCAACCGATCGACCACTGTCTACTGCAATATACTGCGAAACGATCATAAGCCTCTTCCCTCCCGAAAGGATTTAACCTCTATCACGCTGTCAGGATTTATGGGAGAGGAGAACGGCAGGCCTCCATTCAAAAGTTTCTTGAAGAACGTGCAGAACACAACTAAATATTTGACAGTTGCTTTCTCTAAAGTTGGCTGGCTGGATGCCGACACCTTGGGATCTTTTCCGAAGCTGAGCTGGCTAGATTTGTCGTATAACGACATTTATGACATATCCGCTGATACGTTCCAGCCAGTGGTATTAAACAGACTGGATGGTCACTCTTTATCTTTGGATCTCCGGAGTAATGCATTGCAGAAGCTTGATTTGAGCGTGTTCGCACCGCTGGATTCGTGGTTGGTAAGAACATACGTAAAATCGTTTTTTTGGCGTTTTTAACCTAAAAGCGCGATGGCAATATCAAGACGTGGTCGTTTTGTACGCAGAAGCAGATTTTAAACTTTTCTGGCGGTTGCATACGACGCGCAGTGATTGTCGTCTTGTTACAGAGATGGTTACACCTTGGTAGACAACAGCCAAAAATGCGCCAGCTGGACAAAAGTCGATCAGGATTCAAATTTAAAGCGTTAGAAGTTTTTCTGCTGTCGGGAAACGCATTGACGGCGTTGCCCGCTTGGTTCTTGCAATCCATGCCGGGGTTAACTCACATGGACCTTACAGAAAACAGGATGTGCTGCTCATGTTGCGAAACTCAGTCCTTTCTTCGCCTACTCTTAAACACCTCGCACAACCTTCAACATTTCGAAATGCGCTGCGGCCCGGTGGAGTATACTGGTCGGCGGAATCATGGTCCAGGAGAAAGCCATTACCGGGAACTCTCTCGGCTGCTGCAGTTGCCCTGTACGTAATCCTGTCCCACTCATCACACCCAAACTCATTAGAACGGTACTTCGACGAACCTACATAAAACCTACCTGAGATAGTTTTATTTTTGTGTTGAGGTGCACAATGTAAGCAGCTCGATCCCGTGGAAATCCGCTGCAGGAAAGGCTCCGTTACGATATCCGAACGGAATCTGGAACAGATTGAGGCGTTGATCGTCCATTTCACCAGCGACACCACCATGCGCTGTAACAGCGTCTTCCATGACATCTACCACAACGTGCTGGAACTTGGAAACGTCTCGCAGCCAGATCCCAGTTCCACATCGGAGGTCACCCTGTACTGCCGTCATAATCGGATTTCCGTGTGGGGACCTGATCCCGATGACTTAAATCCATTGAAGATCGTCGTGGATACGGATTTGAGCCCACAATGCCACAGCATTCGTGTAGATTTCTCGAGGTTCATTACAGACAACATCTTGAGCGATGCGGCCAGCAGCGTCTCGCCATTGCCGGTTCCAGCGGTAGTACCTATCAAGAGCTGGGTCAGCAACTATTTAGTTTGTCCGCTTGGCGCTCCTTTATTCATCAACTGTTCCGAAGGAACCGTGGAGTTCTCTGAAGGCACCTGGCTATTCTATGAAAGACCGCTGAACACCACCAGTTCGAAGATTCTATATATTATTGCCGATGCCTCACTTTCTTGCCGACAGTTCGTTGTCAGTTGTCACCAGTATTTACTAAATGCCGCAGGAGCCACGGTTCTTAGTGATCCTGAGTTCAGTGCATCGCAAGATGCTATCGTCGCCGTATGCCAACGGGGTCGCACCGTCATCTCCGAATCCAACCCGCAAAACTCGGCTAAGTTGCGTCTGACATACTACTCGGCGCCAAACGATCCCTGTCAGAAGAAGTTTCGAATATTCCTGAACTATATTCAAGATGCAAGCGAAACCTTACTGCCCGATGATTATATTTCTTAGACGAGAAGGATCCTGAATCCTTCCTTAATCTTAAAATATTTATTATGTGGTTATTCCCTTCTTGAGCACTCTTACAATAAATCATATTACATACTCGTATATTGTATGTCTTCTAGAAAATAACAGAGCCAGTACTTCCGCCACTACCGTATTACGAAGCATCCCAACAAAAGCACGGATATTTAGAAATCTTGCAAATCTCGTAAATCCATAAGAAAATATTAAACAAAAAACATGATGTCGCCGCGATTTTTTGGAATCCGGTCTTCCGCTGTTCGTTTTACTGCAAATAGTAGATGAGGATCAGTCCGATCAGCCATAAGTCAGTAAACACCCGATAGTCAGAAAACAGCACGGTTTTTTTGTGGCTTTGTTGAGCGGAATGCTTTCCGTTTCCTAAAGTTCAATCTGTGAAGCCTCCGTCAGGGGCTGTAAAGGTGATATGAGTTAACGAGGCAATGTGCAGCTGTCGGAGATCCATCCTGTCCCAACGCTGGGTATCGCTAGTAACGGACAAACTTTGTATGTGTGTAAGCAGAATCTTACGTTATTGATCAAGCAGCTGCCGTCAACGGTGATTGTAGCTTTACTGGTAACTGATTATCAATTTTATAGTATGGGTTTTACTTTTACTAGCCGGAGTATTAATTAAGATTTAGGAGAATAAGCGTTAAAACTTGCTACAGATAGATTAACCGGGGATAAGATCTTAACAGTAATCGGATAATATGATTAAATAAACGAAAAAAAAGACTTTCTCGAAAGAGGAAACCTAGCTGAAATAAAAAAGTGTGTAGTGCTGCCGGAAAGCTGGGATTACCGAGTTGGACGATACCTTCCTAAGTACTACTTACAACAATTTGCATTTCCGTTGTCGGCTAAGACTGTGTTGTCTGCGACGTTCTTTCACTTTTAAGACACTTGTTATTTTTTTGTACCGTCAATCCGAATTAACAAAGGATAGTGAAAAAGAAACTTACACCTGCAGAAAGGTACGAATCCCGGTCCACTGATCCGGGTAGACCAGTGTCCGTAGTACTCCGTACCCAACGCGCATGGATCGCTGCATTTTTTTCTAAAATTCGCTGACTTATGGGCGGGCAGCTGTCGTTTGCTGCTGTCAAAAACGCGCAAAGTTGCTCTGCAGCGGTTTCCGTAGAGCGAAAGCGTAGCAGCGGAATCAAGACCTCGCAACATGCATGGAACCTATTGCGGCGCAGAAATGCCAATTCAGAATGCGGCTGAATCCAAGCCGTCCCCAAAAAACAATTTTGCAACGCTGATGAAACGACAGCGCCCGCCGCGTTGTGACTGGTCGGCACCAGCTGTTGACATTGACAAGCGGACATGAACTTGGACAGCGAGAGGCATGCACCCGTCCCGTGGTTGCAGTAGATGTTCAGGAAATATGCTGGTTCGGTGTTTAACGCGCTCTTCACATTAAAGGCAGACGGATACGTTTGGCTTCCAGTACTGCTCTTACAGTCCATATTAAATTTGTGCATGAACATCCTTCGCCGCGTGAACGTGGTTGCTGTTCGCCGTCAGCGCCAGGCTCTGAGTGCGCTCGGAAAGAATACCGTCCAACGTTGATACCAGTTTGTACGTAAGATAACCAGTGTATACCCTGTTCGAGTCTTCTGGTTGCATTTCACATGTGCAAATGTCAAAAAGGATGTGTCCGATCTTCCGGATAAGCCGTCTCCATAATGCGGGCTCTAATAATTAAGCAGCAAAGAATAAACAGGTTTATCTGTATGTTCCGATAAATATGCTGCTTATCAATTAAGACTTCCGGAAATCTCTTAAGCAACACTTTCCGAATTTCAGAAAAGTTTCGACGGTGGTTTTAAATAGGGAATATTATTATTTTCACCCTCGTCTTGTGCTGGCAAATGATTGACGAAATAATTACGATACACTATATGGGCCGTTGTTGACGGCGTATTCTCTCCGTCGAGGTTTCGATTGTCCACATTCACAAAAAAGAACATATTGTAACAGTAGCCGATCTGGCTGCTGTTCTAGTGGGTTGGCGTGTTGACCGTACCACGATGTTGTGTGGGCTGTTGGGATGAAAGGTTGGCACGACCGACAACGGTGCGGTCGTGGACGCTCTTACTGACTTAACGACGTAACAAACGTAACAACGGAAGTTCACGGCATGTTTAATGACAAGAACAATGCAAAACAGGGGACAAGGTTTAGACAAGAGTTTAACAAGCGGAACAAGCTGATCAAGCTGATGCAAGCTGTAACAAGCGAAGGCAAGACTGAATTCTAGAAATTGTGAAGAAGAACAGCTAGCCGGTAAAAGGACAAGAATTCATAACGCAATGATGAATCATAACTGGGTGGTCTTACGGTGGTACAACTTCTATCGCTACAATATTATTTTTCCAATCGGTGACCGTACGCGAACGGAAAACTAATGGCTCACCGGCAGAATTGCGGAGTGCAACCTGCCGCGGATATTTACACTTTTCCGACTGGAAAGGAAACGGTGTGGCCAAAGGTGTCTAGTACGGATCCATTGGGCGTTAACCCTGCTGGCGTCGAAATCCATGAAAAACTAGTCACCGTAATATCTTGCACGTATGTATTCCAACCACCATTCGCCGTTTTCGCGCTGCAACAGCACCGTGTTACTGTAGTTAACTTCACGTAGCCCCGAAAAACATCTTGCGAAAGTACAACGGTGTCGCGTTCATGTGTAAACAATTTACTTATAATGGTACTGGCAAAGCTATCTCCGTTTGGGTGCGTCACTTGCATTGCATAAAATATTAGCATACGCTTGAAAATTCATTACATATTATCGAGCGCTGCAAATATGAAATCACAGACGTTCCCGAACTATTGCTGCGAAGAATCTGTCTGAAAACATACAGAACATACACGGTTTCATGTCGAGTGGAGTCTATCGCCTAAAGCAGTCGTTACGACTGCGTTAATACGTTCGCATAATGAAACGGTCGGTTCTTTAAGAGCACGCTGTGCAGTTAGTTCATGTCATTCTGCCGGTGAGCCATTAGCTTTCCGTTCGCGTACGGTCACCGATTGGAAAAACAACATGTTCTTTTTTGTGAATGTGGACAATCGAAACCTCGACGGAGAGAATACGCCGTCAACAACGGCCCATATAGTGCATGAATTTATTAATGTCGATCCAAGCTAACGCTGCCCAGAGCAGCAGGCTGCTATTTTTGTTTCAGTGTATACCGGAAGGTAAAGAAGTTCGCCTGCTCAAAAGTATGCCTGTAAAGACCAGTGAACACTGGATGAAGATGTTGACCTCAAACCACCATCTCGCTGTAGAGACAAGACGATGGAGCGGAGTGCCACGGGAGGAGCGAGTATGCACTTTCTGCGAAGTTGTGGAGGATGAGCAGCATGCCCTGAACGAGTGTCCGGCATATTTCCTACATAGAGAAAAGCTGAAGGAGCGCCTTATTCCCTTGGGCATTACAGTACCGGATGGCGGATTGCTGGAAATTATGCAGAGCATATTACGGAGGAAAGATATGCCGACGGAAAGCGAAAAAATGTTGTTTTTTTGTATTAGCAATTTTCTTAACCAGATCTTGAAAGATAGTCGCAAAGCATATGGCGGGGAGATTTTGCTGTTACCTCCATAATTTTAATACATGTGAGAACGCATTCAAATGTAAGCTACAACCTTTTTCCGAACAACGCTTAAAATAACTATTTAAATCTAATTTTTCCTTTTTTATTACCACTGTTGTCTGTTGTCATACTTTTATAAAGACTTGATTCTCTATTCTATCTAAATGTTTAAGTATATGGCACAATGCATGTTGTGCCCCTGTCAGAAGAAATCTGGGGGAATAAAGTTGTTGTTGTTGTTGTTGTTGTTGTCTGCCGCAGCCAGTAGCGCTGTGAATCGCCGAAATAGTATTACATTGTTGAGAGCATTTGCCGCATGTGGTGCAGTACGTCACTTTCGTTTCTTGTTTTTGAATCAACGTATACTGCTGTTTTTGATGCGACTGCCTTTCCTGATCGTGCTGTTTGTAATATCTGATTGTGAAAGACAGCCGTGTTACGATCCTTATCATGAAAATCTGATTTTGCCGATAAAATATTCTAGCGCTTCGCTGGCATGCTTCGAGAACCGCTGTACTATGTGACTCCAGAGTCCAAACTGATGTTTTATTTTAATGACTTCAGGGCTTTACGAACACATTTAGTCCACGAAAGTACTTCGAGAAGTGGTTGCCAAAACAATTCCACCGAACAATAAAAGCTTCGCTGAATTTATAATGAACCGAAACTTATGCTGTCGTATCACGGCTCTGCCGTTTGTGGCCGTGCACGAGAGCCGTAAAACACAAACGGTCGATTCCTCACGAACCACGACGAGCTTGTTGCAGCGAGTAATACAACAACATGTGTGCCGGGAGCATTTGATGAGAATGAAATATACCTGATATTCAATGTTGAGATTATTTATTTTGATGTCATGGATCCGGTAAACACACGGTACATACCACAGCACTTTTACGAGTATGTGTTGCGAAAACGACGATATTCCTGGTGATTGCCGCTTTAACATCATTACCGCTCATGTTGTGTACAGTCAGTCTGTACGGTGTGTTTGCCAGATCCCAAGACATCAAATTAAATAAATGATAATTATCCGATTATCAATTGTCGTTTCACCTGACCAGCTTTCGGGTTGCGAGGTGTAATGGCTATTCCTGTAACAGTCGAAATAAGAAAGAAAATGTGGAAGAACCAGAGTCTCTTAACATTTACTGGAGCAATCGCACCACTTTATTCGGTATAGTTCAGTCTTTGTAGCGCCTGTCAAGGACTGTAAAAGTGATATTGGTTAGCGCGGCAATATCCAGCTGTCGGAGATCCCTCATGTCCCAACGTTGCGTGGGGTTATTCAGGGACAAGCTGTTGAACCTGGTTAATCAGATCACTACGTTAGGTGATGATTCAGCGGCAGTTAATGGTGGTTAACAGCTCTCGATTATTCATGCGTCGACTTTTATAGCATTCCGCCGATTCCGGACACATTCACAATACGGATGCGCGTACCGGGCACTAGAAGTCTAGAAGTAAGGTATTTTCTACATTGCTCCACATTAGTAAACGTGATGATTTTTCCGTTATTCTCGAGTACAAGATTGTATAAAAAAAAACTTATGATCGCGTAATCAGTTTTGAGAAGTTTTTGGTGTGTGGATCGGCGAAGAAACCGTATAACTTGTATAATACTGTATATCATATATGGTACTCGAATTCGTATGCTGAAAATGTCCGGAATGCAAAAAACACCGAAGTAGTAATAATTAAGCAAAGCAGCAACCAGCAGGCAGCATTTCTGAAAGCAAATCTTTGAAATAAAAAAAAACTGCAGTGCAAAAAATTGCAGCTGGAATTACCCAATCCAGAGAACTACTTACAACTGTATGAAAGTGCGAATACCAACCCATTGATCCGGATAGGCTAATGTCCGCACCCAACGCGCATGGATCGCTTTAGCCTTTTCCAAAACCCTCAAGCTAACAGGCGGACAGTTGTTGTTGGCCGTAGCCAGAAATATTCGGCGTTGTTCCGCCGTCGTTTCTGGGCAGCGGAAGCGCAGCAGCGGAATGAAAACATCACACCGAGCGTCATAAATATCGTAGCGCAGAAATGCCGTCTCGTAAATGTATGGCGGCGCTGCCCTGTCCAAAAACAGTACTTCCTGAGCTGATAAAGTGATGGCGTCCGCTGCGTTGTAATTGACCAGCAAAAGCTCCTCGCAGACGGACATGAGCTCCGTTAGCGCGACGCACTCGAAGGAGTCGCTGCTGGTATTGTGTTTAAAGGTCAGGAAAGACGCCTGATCGCAGTTTAAACCGTTCTTCACTATCATTACAGGCAGACGAAGGCCCTTATTTTGCAGTATCGACTTGATCATCCGTATTTGTGCATGAACATCATCCGCAGCGTGAGCATGATTCCCGTCAGCCGTTAGCACGAGCGTACGAGTGCGTCCCGAAAGAATGCCGTCCAGCGTGGTCACCATCTGGTAAGTAATATAACGAGTGTACGCTGCGTACGCCTCATCGTCATGTGGTCGCATGGCGCATGTCCTGCACATATCGAAGACGATTGGGCCGGTGTCACGGATTTTCCGGGTAAGCAGTCTCCATAGTTCGCTTACTCTGATAAAAATTAAAGCAAGCTCCAGTAAATTAAAAATATTTCGACGATTTTAGCAGTCCAGACATTTCACAATTCGGATTTGCTTACTCGAGACCAGAGAAACGGAAAGGTTTATATGGTTATTCTCTACGTTGTAACTTGTCCCACACGTCGAAAATTTTTAAAAATGAGTTACATGATAATAAGTGCTTTTATACAAGCTAGTACATGAAATCAATAAAAACTTATAAACTTATCAGGCAAATACAGAAGACTCTGCCTCTCTAGTTTCGGGTGCCGTATTGCAAAATCCGTATTGCAAAATTGTCCGAAATGCGATTAGCGTCGGAGTATTTTTTTAAAACATTTTTAATTAAGTAATCTTTAATTATTTAAAAGATAAGTTGAACTGTCCGATGACTTAAGAAGTTTAAACAAATTGAAATTTTACGTAGTTTAAACAAATACTACGGTATTCATTGGTCCGAATCTTCAACTCGGAGTTATCGAGGAAAATATTTTATTTTCAGAGAAAGTGAAGTAGTAATTGACCGGCTTGCTTGCAACAGGGAATCAACATCCAGATGAAGCAAGATCGATAAAACAATCGGATGCGGCAGGTCGTTGATGGACATCTCTTCCACATCTGCAGAATAAATTTAACTTTGAAATTCCGTGCGTCGGTACAACACCCAGTTTGAGCTGAAGCAGAGTCTTCACGGTGTGTCATGCACACCATTACACTGACCGTGATGCGAAGTGTTGCGCGGTGTCGTGTCCGCGTTAGCAGAGCCACGCCTTTGCTTCTCAATAAGATAATCTTTGCAAGCTTTTCTCAAGAATTCTTCGTTCCAGTACATGCTGCGACCATCTGCGTCACTGTGCATTTCAGCACAGATAAACGTGATTGTGTCGAATACCACTTGCACAAATACCCGACAACCCAACTCGATGGGATAGGACATGCAATAGTACTCCCAGTGTGTACCTTCGCAGACGAAAGTGGTGATATCCGTCAAAACGATTCTTCCGAAGCCACAGTTATCACACGGATCACGGCTCTGATTAATCGCGAATTGGCTAACTTGGCCAAGAAACGCCGGCAGAAACTTCACTTCCGGCAACAGATGCGCTTCAGGAAACTTAAGCACATGTTTTTTGTACAAGAATCCGGTAGTTCGCCCATAGAAACTTTCACCATCACCAGGTACTGGAAGAGTTTTAACAAAATAATTGCGATGTACGATGTGGCTTGCCGTCGACTGTGGATTTTTCCGGTCAGGATTATGATTATCCACGTTCACAAAAAAGAACATGTCGTTCTCCCAATCAGTTACCTTGCCCGAACGGAAAATCAGTGGTTCACCTGGTGAATTCCGGAGGGCCACCTGGATAGGTTCGCCTCCAAATAAATGCTTATGGTTGCTCCGACTAGAGATAAAACGATGTGGCCAGAGATGTTTAGTGTGGATCCACTGGGCGTTGATGGTACTGGCATCGAAATCCACGAAGAAACGGTTGGCGTAAACGTTCTGTACATATCCCAACCACCATTCTCCGTTGTCGCGCTGCACCAGCACCGTATTCCCGAAGTTTACTTTGCGTGCACCGGAAAACAACTTGCGAAAGTACAACGGTGTCGCGTTCATGTTTAAAAAAGTAGATAGAAAAGCGGCAGCCGAGTAATTTATTAGCAACGCATTAGTACCGCGTAAAGCTATTTAATTTATATAAATTATTGACAGCGACGGATACCGGCAAAACTACAAATAAATACTAGTATCCCTACTTTATGAATTTCCACAGAAACGCCATATGTTGTAAAAAATAGACATAAGAGCTGCTGTGAGACATGCATCACGCAAGCGTTTAAACAAATAACATGCGCACTCATCACGGCTCTACCGTCTATGGCCCAGCACGAGCCGTTGTATTTGGCCTCTGATGTATAGGAAAACCGGTCGATTCCTTACGAGCCACAGTGAGCTGTAGAGCGAGCACAGGTGTGCCGGCAACCAGTAATGAGTAATGAGCATCAAGAAGCAACAGCGCTGCAGCAGCAGCGCGGAATCAACAAGGTGGGTCAAAGGGAGTGCCCAAACAATATCAATCAGTACGTAAAATACTACGTACAGATACTATTACAACGTACGGGCTCTTTGTATAATAATATTGCCTCAGGAAAGTTACATCTTTTGCAAAACCTAGTAGTAGGATCACCTCATGATTCATTATGAGCTCCAAAATTTGTCACAACATTCGGGAGAACAAAGTGAGAAAAAACAAAATCCAGAATGCCGATACCTGTACAGTGGCAATAGGTGTACAGTGTACTGCTGTTGCAATACCGCACTGAATCGCTGCTACCAAAATAATGGATTTTCTAGTGTGGCGTCATAACCTTTGCACATGAAATTATTTTATTAATCACAATGTGGTGGTATAATACGTTTTTGCAGAAGATGAAACTTTTCTGATGTATTATTATTATATACAGAATTAGCCTATACGAGTACTCCGCTAGTGCTTGTAAATTTGAAACAGCATGTAGTATATATTTCATACTAATTATTATTTTTGTTTGGCCACGCCTTTTGAACTTCAGCAGATGAAATTATCTTTTTAATTATTCTACGATGGTATCCCATGTTTCTCCCAAAGATAGAATTCTTCTGATTTTGGACCCGGAAATTGTGTCCTGGTAAGTGTCTAAGTGGCAATTCTACCTATGTAATGCTCGTACACTGGTGTGCTCGGACACATGATAGTTTTTATTGAATCTTAGTTAAATTTCATTTTTCTAACGTCTAATTTCTATCATTTTTCGTAGTGTGACCGCGAAGGCTCTTTTTATTATGTTGGTGGCTATTGCCTAATAAACATCAAAAATTTCGTGGTATCGTTCTGAAATTCATCTGTGCATGGTTAGGTAAGTAGACGTCCGCAATCGCAAAAGGTATACCTGAACGCTTCAAAATTTAGAAATCAGCGTGAATTTGTGGCATGAAATTCAGTTTAATTTGAACAAACGGTATTAGCAACTACGAGCACGTTTTCTATCTATCCGTTGAATGATTAAAAATAGTCACCCCAACTCAAGATTTTTTATAGGCACCCCTTAAGTAAGTGCAAACCTAGTACAAGTACTTTACACATTAAATACGGTTTATTAATTATTGCCATGGTCGCTCGACTACTCGTATTTGTCAAATCATACTTATTGGTCGAATCATACTTAATGCAAACTTAATGCAAAATAAGGAGAGAAACACCGAAACTACAACAAGAACATCTCATTCAATTTATCCAGCCCTTCTATCGTGCCCCACTGCCCAGCACTGACGCACGCATAAATTAACTACTCGTACTCGTGTAGAAATTAAGTATCTGGACACTGGATACGTTCAGTGCATCGCTCGAACAGCCTCGAAGATGGTGTTGTTGAAAACGCTGAAGCGGCGGACAAGTTGGCTGAGAATTAGATGGGCAGCCGGGCTAGGTATAAGTGTCCTTTCCCTTCGCCTTTGCCTCCGCCTTTTGAACCATGCGCGCACTCGCCTTCGCCTTCAAAAAGGTGAATTTTTTCATTAAGACGTTATTTTTAGGTTTCTTGGGTTATATATATTATTTTGCAAGGTAATATTGTTGGGTATTCTTGGGTTATTCTTAAGGGCAGTATTTCCGCCTCCAAATTAAAAAAAATCTCTTTTTTTGTAAAAAGGTAGTAGACTACTGTCGTATATTTAAAAAAATATTTTCATTTGCAAAGATCGATTGGGCGTCGTCTAACGTAAATTAAATGAGTACATAGTGCTGCATACTATTATTATGCAGTACTGGCATTTTTTTTAAATGCTCTATTTTTTATTGGCGAAACGATACAGTCACAAGTTTCCTATAAAAGTGAAAGATTTGTACTGAATGCACAGCCTCAGCCGACTACGGAAATAGGCGGCCTAATCACACAGAACATTTCGTCCAAGTTAGCCGATACTGGTGCTGTTCCCATGACAGAGGCCGCGTTCCCGCGTTGGTTGTCAATGCTGATCCGTTGGCGCAGAAACTCCATCGCCCGTACCTCGCCGGTTCCCTGTTGTATCATCTTCCCGACTTCGGTGACCAAACGAGAGGCGTCTGATCCGAGTGGTCGAGTGTTTCGACGCCAAATGCACGGAACAGGTAATCTCGGGTGAGTTCCTGAAACTTCGCCACTTTATCCTGCTCTGCGCGCGCTGCGGCTGTCCCCGCTTGCTTCGATGTTGCCGCGATGTGTGTCTTCCGGTAGTCCCATCTTACCTGGCAGATGCTACATCACACATTTTGAACATTTCCTACCTAAATGCTTCCTAATATATAGTTATTATAGTTCGTGAGCATATGGGCATACAACGTTGCCGCGATGTATGTACTGTCATTTATCATAATAATGAAAGGGCTGGGCTAGGCTCGCACAGACACTCGCAAAAAATCTGCCGATTGAGGGAATCGAACCCACAACCTCCATACTCTAAGGCCGAGAGAGGCACCACTAGGCTATCGGCAAAGCATACAAATCTAATGAAGTATTCTATCGAACGATCCTATAGAGAGCGGATGCCGCTCTGACACCCCCTCCGCTACGAAGCGAGGTCCCTCGAGCTGATAGAGCCCAAATCCCGTACTGATAGAATCGGCTCATACTCATATCGAGTCGGCTGTACGTACAACGGTTAAGTCATACGTTCGGCAAATCGGCTTAATAATAGTTTCTTTTTCGCTTAAAACGTTTAATTAATCGAATAGCTTAATAGAAATAATAGGAGGATCCGTAGATCGAACGGCTCTGCTACCATGAAAGGGCTGGGCTAGGCTCGCACAGACACTCGCAAAAAATCTGCCGATTGAGGGAATCGAACCCACAACCTCCATACTCTAAGGCCGAGAGAGGCACCACTAGGCTATCGCCAAAGCATACAAATCTAATGAAATATTCTATCGAACGATCCTATAGAGAGCGGATGCCGCTCTGACAATAATATAATAATAATTTTGCGGCCACTGGACCAGCCGTGGACCCTTCCAGGTTTGAAGCACCCACATAACTCTAAAAATGCTTCCGGTATTCCCATCTTATCTGGCAGATGCTACATCACACATTTTGAGAATTTCCTACCTAAATGCTTCCTAATATATAGTTACTATAGTTCATGAGCATATGGGCAATTCGTGAGCATCTGTACAATTCAAATAGCTTGAAAATTAGCGAAGTTATTGAATTTCTGAAATTTAATAATTTTGCTGCGATGGTCACCGCACACACGCTGTAGTACGTACGTCGACGCTCGGCATGTGGAAGGATCAACGGGACGTGCAGTGCGCGCAAAAACCATATTGCGGCATAAAATGCAGTTACGAGCACTTAATACTACAATCTAATAGTATTTCATACTTTATTTCTCAATATGTACAAGGCGAGCTTCGCTCAACAAATATGATCAAATGAAGAATTTGTCCCAATTAACATGAGAAGGGACTGTGCAGAATACACTCAAAGCGTTACCACGCATAATCTCCAAACTTAAACGTTGAAACAGAAAACATGTAGAGCGACTCTCGCCCGTCCTTAAAACAACTTCTTACCAATCTCCTTTAACGTATCAATGCCGGTCTCACACCAAGTGCCAAAAGTCTCACATGCAAAAGCGACAAAATTACAGCGATCAGTAAGCGACTTGTATTTTCCAATCTTCTCCCGGCAAGCCAGTTCGGCGGCAGCGCCAGCACACTTTGAGGTCACGTCGATGTATGAATAATCCGCCATCGTGTCTCTGCAAGTAACGTCCCATACTAACGGCTGTCCGCGGTACCACTTCCAACGCGTGGCTCCATCCGGGCGCTTTCCATTTTCACGCAAAAAGCCAATGGGCTCCGGATATGCCTTAATGCCAGCATTACACAGCGCTCGCAATATGATATCGTTAATGCCGTTATGGCGTTCCCTTCTCCCGATGCACTTCTTGCAGGCAAGCCCATGGTATCCGTTTTCTGCAACCTCTTTACCGCATCTTGCACACGAATGCTGTTCCACGATCTTAGCGCTAAGCCACAAGCCAACAGAAAAGCGAAAAGTTTGATCATCCAGGAAGTTTCCGAATACTTTCGCAGGAAGGGCGTTAAGCCAGGCCCCGGCGTATATGTACTCTGTATAGTAGTTTATGTAGTCTAATAGTATATGTACTCTAATCTAGTCTAATAGTATATGTACTCTGTACTCATTTAATTTATGTTAGACTACACCCAACTGACCTTTGCAGATGAAAAGATTTTTTTAAGTGTACCACGGTAGTCTACTACCTTTTTACAAAAAAACGAGACTTTTTTGAATTTGGAGGCGGAAATACTGCCTGGCTAGGTTATTCTTAGGTTACTCTTAGGTTATTCTTAGGTTTCTTAGCGGGAAAAGCACAAGAGATTTAGAAATAGAGTGGGCAGCTTCCGATAAATGTGTCTAGTAATGCTGATTATAGAAAGCTAATCAGGGCAGGTAGTCGTACATGGTGAGCCGCTTAGACAACATCTGCTTCAGTATATTCCTGATAAGAAATAAAGTGTGGAAGAACCAGAGTCTCTTAACATTTATTTGGGCAATCGTACCACTTTGTTTGGTGTAGTTTAGTCTTCGAAGCACCTGTCAAGGACTGTGAAGGTGATATTGGTCAGCGCGGCAATATCTAGCTGCCGGAGATCCATCGTGTCCCAGCGTTGCGGATGGCTGTTCAGGGACAAGCTGTTGAACCTGGTTAATTAGACCCTTAAATT